TACAGATAGGGCCAGGGCGAAGATCTCTGTGGATTTCCTGATCGGTGCGATGGAGTGCGTGTGCTGTGATACTCGGCCGATGCAACAGCTTCCTGTCCGAGCGCCAAGATCGAGGGCATTTCCTGGTCCAGAGCTAAAATCCAAGCTGCCAAGGTTGCGGAGGAGAAATTTTCACGTAGAAGGTCGAGAGGTATGTCTAGATAGCCAGCAACAACAGGGGATGAGGAATTTTCACGTAGAGCGTCGAGACGTCGGTGAAGGTAGTCGCGAGGAATTGTGGATGATGGATTGGAAACCGGGAGTGGTGACAGCCGCAGTGGTTTTCTCGCTCTCCTTGCCTAGTTCGTCTCCCTCGGCGCTGGAGATCGACCGGGTGTCTCCAGCCAAGCAAGCAGAGGTAGCACGGGCTTTAGTGTTGGATGGAGCGAGGAATTTGGATCGTTCTTTGGAGGTATCAGTAGCGCTCAATGCTCCGGAAGTCTCGATCGTCCCAGTGACGAACAAGGTTGTACAAGCAGTGGCGAGGCCCAAGGCGGTGCCGGTCATAAACCCGGTGGTGGTGTCATCCAGCTCCAGGCTTCTTGCGAGGATATTGCAGCACTTTGGTGGCGGCGGTATTGCCGGGGCGATTGGAGCGGCCTTGGTGTATCCGCTCGACACGATAAAAACTCGCATGCAAGCACAGGTAAGAGAAAAAAAAAAAAAATCCTTCGTTTTCATTTCTAACTTTTAACTTTGTGTTTTCCAGAACAATGACGAAGAATGTAAATACAAGAACGAGATAGATTGCTTTAGGAAACTCGTAGCTGACGAGGGAATGGGGTCATTGTACAGCGGATTGCTACCCCAGCTCGTTGGAATAGCTCCGGAGAAGGTAACTTTGCGAGGTTTTCTATTCCAAGGTCTAAACATTTTTTATTTCTTTTAATACTTAACGCAGGCTGTAAAGCTGACAGTAAACGAGCTCCTGCTAGAGCTGCTGGAGCACGTAATGCCTGGCACTGGACTGTGGTTTCTCGAGCTCATTGCCGGGAGCGGTGGAGGCTTCTCGCAGGTGGTCTTCACAAACCCGATGGAGATCGTCAAAGTCCGGCTCCAAACCCAGACAACGTCCAACAAGCGTGGCTTCTGCGAAGTAGTCAAGGAGCTAGGCTTCCGGGGGCTGTACCACGGCGCAGGGGTGACGCTGGCCAGAGACATCCCAAGCTCGGGCATTTTCTTCGCGTGCTACGCTATCCTCTGCCAGCTCTACCCGGACCAAGGATTTGCCGATGGATTCCTAGCAGCCATTCCTGCGACAGTTCTCTCCACTCCAATGGACGTCGTCAAGACGAGGCTACAAGTAAGTCCACAAACTCCGCCATACCCGATCTTCCCGCTAACAAAATGTTCTTCTTCTTATAGATGGAGCTTCCGGACGGCCAGATCCCGCACGAGAACGCGCTGGCTTGCCTCAAGAGCGTATGGGTGGCAGAGGGTCCAAGAGCGCTGTTCAAAGGGAGCCTCGCCCGTGTGCTGCGAACGAGTCCACAGTTTGGCGTCACGCTGGTGGTGTATAACTTCATCTGCGGCAGCGGATCTTAGGTAGCTGAGGAAAAGATAAGTACGCGCACAAACAATCAAGCGAGTGAGGAGGAGGAGAAGCAAAGTCAAAGTCAGGAAGGAGGGACTTTACTCCCACCTTAAAACTTTCGGCTGTAAATACGAGGCAGGCAGGCACAGGCCCAGGCAGAGAAGGGAAGAAATCAAGGCAGAGGGGAACCAGCGGTTACATTAGAGCAAGCAAAGAAAATCTCGCGGGTCTTTGATAACTTCAAGGCGAGGTAACAGTGATGGATTGGGGGGAAAGAAGCAGAAGGTTCCTTCCTCGCTCTTCGCCCGATCAGATCAGATTGATTGAATAGAAATCATCGTTCTCGACGCTGACGCACACGTGGAAGAGAAAAATCTCTGGGAACGGGAGGAGTTACTTAGTACCGGAGAAAAAAAAGAGAAAGAAACAAGCAAAACGGCAGCGCTCTCTTTCTCTCTCTCTCTTTCATCTAAGTGAGGGATGAGAGTGACCACTGCCAGCCAGCAACAACAAACACACGACAGCCTGTTTGTTTGGCAACTTGTCCAAAAATGACAAGAAACTGAGTGCTATGTCACAACCCAAACAATGTCACAACCCAAACAAACGAGAGTTAAGAGAAAAAAGGTACCTCTCTTTTTCGTTATTTCGCCACACCAATTAAGAAACCCGAGAAACTTCAACATCACCACCCCTCACAAAATTAGTTGATCAAATCCTCGCCTCCTGTTCTGTGCTTGCTCCTCTTGTTGCTACATACTTTTCCTTCTGTCTCCTGTGCTCTACTCTCTAAAGTATCTCTCTATCCATCCATCCATCTATCTACATCTGCGATATCACCACCCTGCCCGGCCCCTCACTCGTTTTTAACAGCGGTATTGTTGTAAAGTGTATGTAGCGGCAATCTCGCTTCCATGGAGCTTTGCTTTTTTCCTTGTCACCTAGGCCCCCCCTTGATAGTCTTGTTCCTCCAGACTTCCCCGTCGTTGCTTTAACTTTCTACTTTCCTTGCTCTGTAATCTTTGCCCGCCACCCCCAGTCGTGATCCACACAGCTATAGAGCGCGTCGGACCCCACTTATCTACTGGTACATATAGTACACGGAATGGAAGAACCTGTAAACACAACCCGCGTAGTTAAGGCTCGCTCGGAGATGAAAGCTTGCCTTTTTCGAAGTGTGGAGGAGTGCACCAGCACCAGCAGTAGATCGTCCCACTGGATTGATCGATGCGGTTGAATCGAGCGTAGTACCCCTCCCTGGACCCAACTTGCCAGCTAGCCTGAGTTGGATCCTGCTCCTGCCACTGCCGCTGCTGCTGCTGCTGCTCCTAGTGGCATATCAACCGGAGAAGCTTGGCCTGTCAACTTGTGCACCAGAGCTATCAATGCAGCATCCTTGGAGGAGGGGGGAGGAGGGGTCCTGCTGCAGTTCGAGCCACTTTTATCTGCTGCACGTTGCTGCAATTGCTGCTGCCAGGTCTCCCGCGTCGTTTCGCTGCTAAGTTGCTCCTGCTGGTGCTGGTGCTGCTGCTGTTGAGCATCCAATATCTCCTCCACCAAGTTTCCAGCCCGAGCTCCCACTCCCACTGTGATAGGCTTGTCATTGCTGTTGTTCGTCCCTGAAAAGCTCTCAGCCCCACCCGCATGGTGGATCCCAATCAGGCTCAAGCTCATGTGTCTCGACGCATCACCCGAGTTTGGCTTCTCGTTGTTCTGCTGCTGCTGCTGCTGCTGCTGAGAGTTCTCGGCGCTAGCGTAGAACTGCGTGACAGGAGTGTCGCTTGCTGGACCACTCTCGGCTCCCTGCGGCATAATTGCTAGCATCTCCGGGGGCTGCCCGCTGCTATCCTCTCTGTGACCACTGAGGTGTTCCTGGAGTTCGTTTACTGCGGCGGTTTGATCAGTCAGGCACCTGCTGTTGGGAGGAGTGAGGACGCCGGTACGGTAGAGCATGTCCAATTGCTGGAAGTAGGGACAAGTCTTTGAATTCTCTGATCGCCGTTTGGAGCTGTCCTTTGTCTTTCGGAAGTACTTGTTGATGTTCTCCCACTTCTCCTTGCAGCGCTTGGAGCTCCGGCTGTAGCCCATATGTCCCATGCTTGTGGAGATCTCCTCCCATAACGGGCCCTTAGCACCGGGCTCCTGGAACTTCGACTCCATCCCGCTCCTGAGACGAATCAAGGCGTGTACCTCCTGCTTTGGCCACCTCTTGCTGTTGGGATCGAAGTGCTCTTTGAAGTCCTCATCCTGCAAGTCCGACTGCTGCTTCCCAACCGGAGTTATGGCTTGCGGAAGCTGCAGCGTCTGGCCAGTAACTTTCTGCAGGAATGCCACGAGCGCAGCATCCCGGGTCGCTGCAACTGACCGCTCCTGCGACCGCCGAAGCTCCTGCTCGCGCTGGATCCTCCCCAGCTCCTTCCTCCATGCGTCATCCTTGAGCAGCCTGTCCTGCTCACGCCTGTCTATGGCCTCGAGAAACTTCCTGTGCATGGAATCCTGCTTGTCCATGAACTTGCGAATCAGGTTCTCGAGGAACAGCATCTGCGAAGCCCAAGATTTCCTCTTCCGCTTCCTCTTGTCGTTCCGGTCCGGATCGTCGTACTCCTCGTCATCGGTATCCGAGAGCAAGTTCGCAGCGCCGTCGCTGTTCTCCGAAAATCTCTGGCCCGAGGAATTCGCTCCGTTGGTCGTAGTTGGCGCCATCCCACTTCCGCTGGACAGAAGGAATGGCCCATTGCTGTGATCCTCGCCTTGCAGTAAATTCGCAGCGCCAGCTCCAACTGTGGCTGGGCCACCACCTGCTCCACTAGAATTAGACCCATACAAAGCTTCCAATTGCGCAAAAAATCGGTAGCATTTTCCATCCTGTCTACCGGCTTTGCCACCTTTGGTTTTCTTGTAGTACTTGTGGACGTTCTCAAACTTTTCCTTGCATTTTTTGGCGCTCCTCTGGAATCCCAGCTCGCCAAGCCTCCTGCGAGATCGTCACAAATGCTGGTCAGTCCAAAGAAGGATGAATTTCTCACACTACGAGGACGTGAAAGTCCCTTTTTACACACACAAGAAGTATGAAGGCTTTACCTCGCCATGAGTGTGAATCTCATGGGTTTCTAGACAGGATCTCTCGCAAGCACGCAAGCAATGAAACAGGAGTCATGGGAGAGAGAAGCGAATTATATACCTGGAAACTTCTTCCCATAGCGGCGCCTTAAGACCAGAATCCCGGAAGTTTGCGTCCATCTCGGTCCGGATCCTTATCAGCGCCAATGTCTCCTGCCGCGGCCATCGATTGCCGCCAATTCCTCGCTCCTCGCCGGTGGTCTCGTCGTCGCCAATCGTCGTGAGGGTCTGCCTGTAGGCCGCGCTGCCGCTGGGAGATGGCCGCGTTGCGATGGGCGATGGCGCCTCGGCCGAGTCTGGGCTGAGTCCCAGCTGCTGGACGACTTGCTGCTGCTGCTGCTGCTGCTGCTGGGTGTGGAGGTGATGAGACTGCTGAATTCGCTGGTGTGATGCACTGGAGCTTTGGAGATGGTGGTGCGCTGCCGCCGCGGCCGCCACTGCTGCTACCGCGTGTTGCTGCTGCTGCTGCTGCGAGTGATGGATTTCCTGGGAAGAGATCGAGAACATGTGATGCGAGGCGTGGCCGCCGCCAGGCCCCCTCCCGACCACGAATTGCTGCACGTCGGGAGGAACTCCATACGTTTGCATCCTCACGGACGCCAAAATGGAGCTAGCGAGCGCGTGTCGGTCAGATCGAGATGCCGCTTCTTTGCATCGATCGAAATGTCGCCAAGACGATTCCAATTCCGATCGATCTGCTGCCGCGCAGCATTCACTGTATCTTTGGAGCTCCGCCGCGTGATATTACGGAGCTTCTCTTTCTCCTCTCTCGCTCTCTCTCTCTCTCTCTCTCTCTCTGGCCGCGACGATTTGCGTTCTTTACTGGCAAAGATTGGAAAGAAGGACCGATTCGAGGGGAAAGATCAAAGATTCGAGGCGAGCGCAGCTAGATTGAGTGAAATCGCGATCGGGGACACACACGACAAACATCATATCACGGAACAATTCAAGAAAAGCGCTGCAGAAAAAAAACTCTGAAACAGTGGACTTCTCCGCGCCGGGACCCTGCGATTCCAGTGTAGGGACACTTGGAAAAACTCGCTAAACCCTAATGATCACCGCGCTTCCTCCGCCATAGCCTCTCTCCGCTCACGCTCTACATCATCAAACCCTAGCGAGGGCTAATCCACACAGCTGGAATAAATTTTTTTACATTCACTTAAAAAGAATGCTTTGCGTCGCGCGCACAAGAAGAAAGAGGCGAGGTGGAGGTGTAGCTATGGCGGAAAGAAAACCGGCTCAGCCAGGAAATCCGGCCACGTGTCGGTGGCGGGGCTCGCGACCGGTGCGTGCCGGTAACCGCCTCGCTCAAGAGCGTGGCCGGGAAACCGGCTGGGGTCGCCAAGAAGGCGGCCGGCCGGCCTGATTTCCCGACAGGTTTAAAGATAAACAACACCCGGGTGGTTTGGGGTTTGACCGGTGGCTGCCACGTGGCGGCATCTTCGTTGAACGCGCAGCCAACGGTCATTATTGTTAACTAATCCCGCGCGGGGCTGCCAGAGGCCCAACGTGCGTCGGCTTGAATGCGTGGCGGGATGACGTGGATCCCACCTGGAATATCCCTTCCTCCAGACATGGCGATGGAACTTCTGTGTGTTCCTCTTGTCACGAACAAGGCAAAGAATGCGAGGTTTTGGCTCTGGCGCTTAAGGAAATCCCATTTAGAAAAGAGAGAATTGTGTGTGTGGTGGTGGGTGGATGAAAACGATCCCGAGTCAAATTCCATGGGCTCGGCAGCAGTACTTAGTGCACATTGATGGGGAGTACCACGCCCATGCAAACAGTGTGGGCCAACTTGCCCTAGAACCAGGGGGGGCTCCGTGCCCTAGAAATTGGGCCCTGGCCATTATATTTACTGGAGGCGCCCACATATTTTGTTTTGTCGTGTCCAGACTGGCCACTGGCCACATGCCATTCCCACCGCCTTGACATGGTCCACATTCATAGCTGGCGCGCGACCGGCCGGCCGGCCGGGCACTGGCGCAGCGTCCGTTCGTTTCGCCACCGTCCGATGGGCACACCCGGAATATCCCCCACATTGATTTGGCTGTCAACTTCGATGCCATGGAATCAATCATGGATTGGGGTGGCGCGAGACTGGCATCTGGAGAGATTCTAAGGGTAGGGTTTGTTGCAACGATGGCGATGGAGGATGTTAAGTATAACTTGCGAATCGCGATTTGGGTGGTACTGGTGGATGACCTAAACACTCCAGAATATACTAAAGTGAGGTTAACACAAATCACAAAATAACTGTTGACAACCATGTGAGAGGATTTGTCGTGGCATTTCTAGACAAATTGGCACGGCCGGCTTTGTTTGATTTAATCTACTTTAAAATACGTGGTTAGTGGGGAAGCATGTTTCGCCGCCCCTCAAATCATCACGTGTTGGCGTAAACTATACGAGGGGAATGTAACACCGCAACACAACGAGGCCACCACCACGTAAGGTGGCCCACAAGCCAAAATTCCAAGAAAAACCAAAAACAGGTTTATTTTTCCTTTTTAATTTCCTTTTAGCTTTCCTGTTTTTCTTACTTTATAGGTTGATATTTTATACTCGAGATTGGCTTCATGTGCCATGTTCGTGGCCATGTGAGAAAAGGCCAAAGGTGGATTGGAAAAAATCAAACCAAAGCAAAACCCATGGGTCCCAAGGTTTGTGACATTTCCAGCGTTAAAATACTTGTATGCGATGCGTCTCGAGCGTGGCGGGCAAAAACAAAAGCGGGCTCGAATAACGTACGCGGGCACTTGGTACGAAGATCGAAGAAGCGCTTGCCATTCCTTGACTTTTAACTCTCTCGTGGTCCCCTGCTTTGGCTCCTCGCTCCGGTCCGGTCGTACCATAGCTCAATAGCAAACGTACCAGCGATGATCGGTGGAGGAACCGATGATCTGTATGATTGGAGCGATGGTCTCTTCATCGTCTCCTTCTCTGGTAACGATTGTCTCGTCGCTTTCTCTTCTTTTGAATCAAAGCCTGTCTGGCTGTCGATCATGGACTGCTCGACTTCGCTGGCGTTGATCACTCTCGTTGCTTCATGCGTCTTGTCACGAGTGTTGTCTTCCTCCTCTTTCCCAGGAGCATTGTTCATGGAAGGAGACCACTCCGATTCAGTATTTCATCGCATGACGTCGCCTAGATTGACGTAAGGAAAAAAAAGGAGAAGAAAGAGCTGTTTTTTTTTTACCGTAGAGTAGTAGCGTGCCGTCAAGTGTACAGGACGTGTTCTTAGAACGACAAAACCGATCGTTCTCTCCCACATTGAAGATTCTGACGTTACTACGAGATGAATCCAATCCGCACGCAATAATTGAGGTGGCCCTTTCCTCTCGATTCACTGCGCTGCTGAGGTCTCCACGTTTTTGTCTTGTTGGAAACTGTGGCAGAAGATTGCTAGCGGAACCCCGAATTTGTTTGCCACCCCGAGAGGAAACCAGAACAGCTTCACTTCTTCTTCTTCTTGTCTTTCTTTCCACCCTTCTTATCCTTTTTCTTTTCCGGTTTCTCGGCGTCGACCGGTCCCAGCTTCAGCGTAAGCTGCAAGAATGAATAGAAATAGCACCCAGCATTACGTTACGTTACTGTGAAGTGAAGAATTTTTACCTCCGAGAGAGCAACTTGTGCTGCAGTCCACTCGAGCTCTAGGCATGAAAGTTGATCGGACAGCAGGGCATTCTCCCTGCAAATGGCGGACACTTGCTCTGCGGTGGTTGCTCGCCACGTTGTTGTTTTCCCTGAAAGCTGCCCCCACTGCGGTCTCGGAGTCATTTGATTAACTTTGTTGGCAATCTCGTCGATCTCAGCTTGCGTCTCCGAAAGCTTGCCTTCCAATTCTAGCATTTCAACCTTTGCTGCGCAATATACAGTCTTCGGCACGCTGCAGGTGGTGACAAAAGTTTTAACATGCGAGTAGGAAATTCCAAACCTGTCAGACGCTTCCACACGGGCAGATTCAAGGAAGGACTGCGTGTGTTGCAACTCGTGGACCAGTTGGGAGTACTGAGCTCGTAGCTTCTCGTGCTTTTGCTTCTCGACATCCTGCAGCAAGTGAACCGTTGAAACGGCTGGCATCTAGAGCGATGACGTACCTTCTCGTATGCTATCTCCCGAGCTTCCAGAACCAGCACTCTTGCTTTCTTCAAGTCTTTCTTCAAAACCCTCGACTTACCATGCAATATTTTCACCTGAAATGACCCAAAAGGAGGCTTTGAAAAGTGCAGTCAGCGAGTTTTCATGATATACCTTCGATTTCGCGGCTTCCAACAGGCTTATCGTGGTGTTTAGCTTAGTTTGCAAGTCATTGCTAACAGCTTCTGCTGCCTTTATCTGGTCCCTCAAAACCTGTCCAAGGCAAACAAGAATCTATGAAGCTGCAAAACTAAACATACCTGTATGTGCTCTTCAATACGGAGAATGTCGGCCTGCCTTGCTTGGAGCTCTTCTCTCCATTTCTGATGTTGCTCCTCCAACTCCTTGTTCTTTCCTTGCAGTCTATTAACGATCTCAAAGTACGGCAGCTGAGAATGGCTCTTGTTAGACAAAACAGAGAATGGACTTTTTAAGTACCTGTTCAAACGCCGGTGTAGTACCGGGTGGGACGACATAATGGCTGAAGATGGCATGCTGAAGCTCGTCTTTTATATGAGACAGAACTCGAGAAAAGGGCATGCTTAGTTTGCATATCTCGTTGAAAATCTGCCATCTCAACGTTGTGTTTTTCAGTTCTAGAAGAGGAAAAAAAAAGAGAGAAAGCTACCTCCCAGCATACAGCAGTTCTGTGCACATCCGGAATTCCAGGCTCGCTCTCCCGCTCCTTGAGAAGCTCGGCGAGTTTCACCTGGAACAAAGAGTTCACAAAAAACCCCAGAAAGAAAAACTTGTTTGTTACCCAAAAGCAAGTGTGTGCACCTCACAGTACACTGCCGAGGACCGGAAATTCGCCGCGCAGGAGGATGGCTTCTTGTCCTCGCCGCTGCCCTCCTCGTCGGCGCAAATGCACCTCACCACTTTGTCGTCGCTACCCGCCCTGCGCTTGTGAGATCGCTGGTCGCAGTGGCACTCGCGCTGCCCCAGCGATTTCACCTCGGACGACGGCGCCGACCTGATGAGCCGCGGCGTCTTCTGCCGCGCCGTGGGCGGGAGGAGGCGGAGCAGCGCCTCGTGGAAGGAATGCACCGGCTTGCGCGTGAAATCCAGGCGCTCCTCCAGCGTCTTCTGGCTGATCTTGCTGATGGAGCCGCGCCGCGCGGGCGGCTTCATCTCCAGCGGGGGCAGCATCGTCACGACCACACGCCACGAGCCCTAACCTTCCGGAAGCCCTAGATTCCAAATTACGGCGGGAAACCACGAATATTCGCAATGTAAAACTTTTGTGTTGTTATTTCCAAAGAAGATACAAGATCTTTATACAAAAGTGTGAGTTCTATCACTTCCCCACTTTCCCCAAAAACTTCATGTTGAGGATCTTCACGTCCGTGCCTGTTCGTACAATGCCGTCGTCCGAATCGATTCCTATCAGCTTACCGCTAACGCCTCTAAACTCGCCATACACGACCTTAATCCTATCATTCTTCTCCGGCTGCACAATCTCTATCTCCGAGTGGCTCACCGTCACCGTGTCGTCGCCGATCGAGAGGCGACAGTAGCCGTCCTGGTTACACACACATTGCGTTACGCTCACGCCAGCAAAGAGCAAGAATCGAGAAGCTCGACTCACCGGCAAGACCTCCTCAATCACTCCAATCGTCGTGTCGCCATTGCGCCTCAGGGTGACCATCAGCTCCGGCAAACCCCATTGCTTCTCCAGCTCGTGCATGTTAAAGCCTGTAACGATGGATCCATCACCAACAGCTGGGAAGATTAAACTTGTGAACACTTTACCGGTAGCTGGGGATGTAGGATCCAGAACTCCGCTGCCTGGTGTCATTGGTTGGCCGCCGGGAGTCCCAGGGACAGCAGGAGTCATAGGCAGAGCACCAGGAGTTCCAGGGAGATATGGGCTTGATGGATTGCCTGCAAAAGGAACACTACAAGTTAGACTGGATTGTGATGAAAAATGAATATCAATACCATAGTGAGCGACGGCTTCAACTGGCGAGCCAGAATCAGCATAACTCCCAGGAGTATTTGCCCACCCAGAGCCAGGCGTTGGTGCTTCGTATGATCTAGTCGCCAGTGGGGTCCCAGGCTGTTGCATATATTGTGGGGACGTTGTGTGGGCGCCCCAGCCGGTGTCGTCCCTGGAATTTTACAAGGAGTTAGCATGTCTGTCCTCGACACGGCTAAGGATAGTTCACCTTAGAGGAGTTGTCGGATTCCAGGCCCTGTCACGCATTGGAGTTCTCATTCCATCATGAATGGGCGTCGCTGCAAAAAACAGACTTTGATTATATATTCTATCCATTTTCGCTGCGGTACCTGATGAGTCCCTCATAGGTGTCATGTATGCAGAATGCATAGGCGTCCTGGAAGGATGCACTGGGGTCTGACTTCCCATGCCGTAGCGTGTAGGCTCCCTGAGAGAGAGAGAGAGAGAGAAAAAAAAGAAACTCAGTTTCGTCGCATGGTTATTTGTTGAACCTGTACCTGAACGAAGATTGCACGTCTCCAATATCGGAGAGAATGTCACGGTCGACTGGCCGTTCAAGACGTTAAGTAAACAGAAGACTGGTATTTCAGACTGTCGTACCTGTGACGATCTTCATTTGCGATTCCAGCTCTATGCGTACACTTCGACCACCACTAGCATCAACCACACGTCCCCGATAGCCTTTATAAGGTCCAGTTCTTATCTTCACACTTCGACCAACGTAGTTGTCGTTTCGCCGACCAGGATTGCTCACGAAGCCTGATCATAACGACTATCGTTTAGAAGAACTTCCAAAATTATATTACTTACCACTTGGAGGACCGTACGGACCCCTGACTGGACTTCTCCGTGGAGATTGAAGGAATTGAGAAGGAGGTTTCAAGGAAGAAAATGCAGCGGCTATATGATTCTGCATAGCTGAAGGTTAAACGCTACTCATGCAAACCAAAGCACACTACCTGTTTGTCACCTCTGGAGCCACCCAAAGCTAGGCAAGATGTTGCTCGAACACAAATAAAACCTCCATTTTCAAGATGTTGCCGGTCTTGTACAAAAAGAATGCCCCGATTTATATGCTCTACAACCCCTTGCTTACCCTGAAAAATAAACTCGATACATTTCCACAACTTAACCAAAATACCTTGAAAGGTCCAGAAACAACTCGGACAATGTCTTTCACACTCACGACATTTGTATCCCGATCTTGCGTGTTTATCATTTTGTTGTATAATCTTTTCCTGAGATCTCGTTGTTTGACTGTAATCACTTCTTGTTTGTCAGGTGTCCCCTTGAGTACCTGTAGATACACACATATTAGAAAAGTAACAGCTGATTTTTGAAAAGTTACCTGACATCCATCAGCCTCAATCCTTACAATCACACCAACCGTCATTGGACTGCAAATCAACACATTCACACATGAGATAAATTAGAAGAAAGAGAAACATACTCCAGCGCAATGAGATCGTGAAGCTCGAATTCTCCCAGCTTGGTTAGGCCACAAGTAACCTCAGATGTTTCAACAATGCTATCCCTAAACACGCGGACCTGAAAAAAGAGTAGCACGTCAGAACCAGCAGCCAGGAATGCAGCGTTTCTTACGTCTTCTTTCGTGGTGTCAGAAAGAATAATAACAGAGTCTCTTTCAATCTTCACAATCATCCCCGTTGCTCCTTCATGCTTTCCTGATGTAACTTTCACATGGTTTCCCGGTTCGAAGTGTTTGCTAAGTTGCTTGATGTGAAATCTAAGCACATCCTGCAATCCAAATAATGTGTTGAAATAAATAAAAATGGTTTTCAAATGCTTACCTTCAATCCTGACTTTTTATCAGGACGAATCTCGACGTTATCTTCGTCCACTTTCTCGACAACACCCTGAATCCCTTTCAAATCTCCTTCTACGGCCACCACTGTGTCGCCCTTCACAAACTGACCACGCTTTCTCGAGGATGACAGCCCAAATGCGTCCACGCTGTCGTCATCACCAGGTTTCTGAAAGCTTTGAAGCTCGTCCAATGAAGGCATGACGTCCACGGCGTTTAAAGTTTTCAGTGATACGTTCTTTATAAGGTACCCATCCATAAACTGCATATTTGCCACTTGCTCGTAATGATCACCACGAGCATCACGTCGTCTCTCGATATGCACCTTCATTTCTCTGGATGAAAGGACAAAAAAAAAAAAAAAAAAAACTCAAAGATATCCCAAGAGGGAAAAGTTTTACCTGAGTTCTTGCATAACAAAACGTTGAGGTGGCCTTACAGAAAAACCTTTTGATTTCGGAATTTCTTTTCCTTCCTGAACGTAATTCCGAGTTAGAGTATCCAAGACAAACAAACAGTGCACTTACAAGTTTGGCCACTAATTCTTGAATCTCTACCCGAGGAACAAGCTTTATCCTTGCTCGCTGTCGAACGTGATCAACGTCAAGTACCTGTTTGACAAAAAATTACAACAAAAAACTATTCAGCAGCCTCGTAATACGCTTACCCTCGCGAGATCTCCCTTGTAGAGGCCTGTTTTGACTCGCACCCAGTTTTCCTTGTCAATGTCAAAGGACTTCTTCTCTACAGTCAGTACGTCTGTCATTTCTTTGATTGGAACAAGGTGTATTGTCTTCGGAAAAATATTTCGCAGTCCTTTGATAGCCTGAGCAGATGAAACATTGTGAGAAACATCAGGATCTTAGTAGCCTGGTTACCTGCTTCACGTATGCTTCCTTGTCGGCTTCAACGTAAATAAATCCTTTTAGATGGTCTATTGCCACCGCAGACTTGATAAGTAGGGGTTCATTCTTTGCTTGGAAGTCCAAATACTTTTGCATCAAACAGACGACAGCTTCTCTTTCATGGCCTTGCTGAAAAACTTAAAAGAGTGAGACAGAGAAAAAAAAGACTAGTTGCCAAAAACTTCGCACATACCGGGCAAGTCAACATGTATAGTTTAGGATCCTTCACTGATGGAAGTAACGCTTGCTGCTCAACCACAGTGGCCTCAGAGTCGTCGTATGTATCGTAGCTCGTAGTTTTATAACGCTGCTGAAGCATCTTCTCAATTTCGATATCCTCCAGATCTTCTCCAGTATCGAGAAGAGCAGGACGCTGGGGAATTCTACTTCTTCGGGAGCTCTCTTCTTCCGGGATAGTGTCCTCAATAAATCCTGTGAACAAAGCATGGAAAACTTAAACGCAAGACAACAGGAAAACAAAAGAGAGAATTTACCCTCTTCTTCCTCTTCTTCCTCCTCCTCCTCATCACTCGCAACCTGGGCAGCATCATCGATGAAAGCAGAAGCACGGCTTCTCCCCCTCTTCTTCCTAGACGGGGCATCGTCCTCCTCGTCTTCGTCTTCCTCAGCTACATCGTCGACATAGCTGTTTCTCTTCTGCTTGCGCTTGCGCTTTTTCCTATCCTCCTCCTCATAATCTTCATCGTCGTCTAAATCCTCACCTTCTGGCTCTTCTTCCTCCTCCTCCTCGACCTCCTCGTCGTCGTCGTAATTCTGAGCTCCCATCACCGCCTCGCGCTTACCCTTTCCTGGAACACCTAGATTGCCCAAGAACCCTAGATGGCTTGGAAGGGCACTTCCAGCTCACCTATGGCGCCATCGCCAATGAACTATCGCTCTAGGGTATGAATGGAACACCTGATTTTGCCCAAGAGCCCTAATGTCGGGCATAAAAACTTTAGGGCAAAAAGGGGGGAGCGATGGCGTGGAAGGCGCACGCGGCACTGGTGCTCGTCCAGCTCAACTATGGCGCCTATCACGTCATCGCCAAGCTCGCGCTCAGTGTGGGGATGAATCAGATCGTGTTTTGTATGCTGCGGGACGCGGTCGCCATCGCAATTCTCGCCCCCATTGCTTTCGTCAAGGACAGGTTCTCTCCTTTGGTCCATCATATACATTCTTTAAGTGATGATCTTTCGTACAGTGAGATCCGGCCTCCACTCACTCGGAAGCTCGCATTTTCCTTTTTTTTCCTTGGGCTCACAGGGTGAGTGAAGCTGCTGAAATCTAAAAGACTCGCCCGCGAGCGAGCGATCGATCGAAACTTTTGTTGCTGGATGGCTTTCCCTCGCAGGATCTTTGCGAACCAGCTACTGTTCATGGTTGGATTGAAGCTCACGTCTCCAGCTTATGCTGCGGCACTCCAGCCGGCGACGCCAGTTTTCACGTTTTTGCTCTCGCTCTTCATGGGGTCGGTTGGTCCGTTCTTACTCCCTCGTTTTCCATTCTCGTTGGTTTTTCTTCGTTACTCTAGCTTGTTACTAACGCAGTGATCTTTCGTTTTTCTTTGAGCAGCTCCGAGACTGTGAAGATCCACAGATACGATGGCCGAGCTAAAGTTGGTGGTGTGCTTCTAAGCGTGCTGGGAGCGCTCTTGATGTCCGGGTATAAAGGACCACAGGTTGTTCCTGGCTTACAAGGGATAGACTTCCAGACTGCAATGGGAGGAAAGCCTTCGCCGGAACCGCTTGGATGGTTCACGACAATTCTCGTGGAGATTGGAATCGACTTGTGGCACATTGGTATCATTTGCCTCATTGGAAACTGCTTGTGCATGTCGATCTACATGGTCTTCCAGGTAAGAAACGATATCTCACTTCCGAGATCTCATTTGAAACTTCTGTTTTGCAGTCGCTACTACTGGCAAGGTATCCGGCCGCCTTGTCAGTCACAGCGTACTCCTACTTCTTTGGAGCGGGGATGATGGCTCTCGCGGCCTTGTTCACCACAAGAGAGCCGTCAAACTGGTCACTAAACAGCTCGGAGGTCTTTTCTGTGATATATGCTGTAAGTTCCAACATTTTGCGTTCCTTTCCAGCTGATGGAAGAACTTGGTTTCTCACAGGGCGTGATCGCATCTGCACTAAATTATTGGTTACTCACTTGGACCAACAAGCTGCTTGGGCCGTCGTTGGTCGCACTCTATATGCCTCTGCAACCATTTGCCACGGCAATTCTTGCACACTTTCTTCTCGGCAGTCCTATTTACCTCGGGAGGTCAGCTAAAAAACCGATTTTTTCAAGCTGTTTGTGTTGATATTTGTCTTCTCCAGTGTCTTTGGAGGTGGACTAATTATTCTCGGCCTCTACTGCGTGACATGGGGAAGATGGCAAACTGAGAAACTCCTGCTAGCCACGTCCCATAAACGAGAAGATCACTTCGAGCGATGGAGAGGAGAAGAAGATCTTCCTCTCACGGAATCGCTCTACAGGCTTCTGGATCCCAAAGGCTTGACACAATTGCCACTGTCAAGATCCTGGGGAGAACCACAATGACCAGCAATGAACTCCATCGAGGTACTTTACAAATCCTGCCTCTTTTTTGGTTTTCATTACAAGTGTAGAGAAAAATATGTATCACAACACCTTAGGCACTTCATACCTTGAGGGCTCTCTCTTTTGTCGATGTACAAAATTACTTACTGTTCCTAGTTCTTCCTAGCAGCATCAAGGGACTTCCAGCAAGCTTGGAGAATCGTTTTTATCCGAGTTGAGATCGAGGGCGCTGAGATCTTTCGCCAGGCTGGTGTTGTGCTGATCTTGCTCTTTGTTCTCTGTGAAAAGGACAATCAAAGGGGTAAAGCTTAAAAGATTTGACTCACCACTGTTGTTGTAGACAGCCGCGCTGTCGTCCTCGGCCAGGAATTCCATCTCTTCTTCCTCTTCCATAAGCTCCATCTCCAGCGCCTCTAGATCCTCGGGGCTCAGCTCCTCCTCCATTCCCTGGTACCTCTCCCTGAGCCAGTAATCTCTAAACGCGGGGCAATTCTCTACCAGGCACCACCACTCGGGCGAGAAATCCTCCGTGTCGATGTAGGCCGCCGGGATGAAGAGCGGCGCGTGGGGATTGAGCGTCGACGCCACTGGCGCTTTCACTGCCATAGCTCGCTTCGCTTCACAAGGAAAACCCTAGAAAAAAACATTGAGCACAGCGTTAAGTAGCGGTATATTCTACTCCGCTAACGGTATATCCCGTATAACGGTAAATACCGGCAGAATATCCCTCCGGCGCAATACGGACGCGCGTCAACGGCTCCGAGCAGCGCGGACAGCGACGTTGACGTCGAATATCCGGGGCCCGCCAACGGCTCAGATGCCCGGATTGACTGACTGCATCCAACGGCCGTGGATGTGAGAGCCGGGGCGCCGGACCGACGGCCACGATGCGCGCTGCAGCGTCTTCCATTGGCACAATCGCATTGTTTTTTCATTGTTTTTCGCCACCACCCGCGGCTATGGCGGATCGCCGTGCGCATTGCGCTTCATGGACGTCGCGTTCGCCACGCCATCTCGCGCCGGGCGCGCTGGCGATGGCCGATCTGGCGGCTTGATCACGTAGGGGAGAATATCGCCTGTAGCCTCGCTCCTTCCAGTAGATTCTAGGGTTTTGGGCGATGGCGGGGGAGAGGCGGTCCGAGGTGCTGCGTCGGCGCCGGCCGCGCCAGGCCAATGCTAGGGATTGAGCTGCTAGCTAGGGATTGTGTGTGTGTGGGCGCGCCTCGATCAGCGAGCTCTCTGGCGGGCTCCAAGTTTTCTTCCCAGGAGGGCGATTCTTTTGCATGACAACGCTCACCCGGGCTTCCAGGCGCTGGCAGGAGAAGAGATTCATCGTCGATAGCGTAGCTACAGCATGGTTAACAAAGGAGTGAAGAAAGTGCTCGACTCGTACACTATCAAGGGGACCAACAAGACCATCAAAGGTACGTGCTTTCCTCAGTGCATGTAGAGAGGAGAGGCAGCATTCTCCGAGAGGAAAGGCATTGATCCAAGAAATGGATTCTTTGGTTTGCTTTCTTTTGCTTGCAGTTGGAGACGCAGTGTTGATGCGTGCTCAAGATCCCGAGAAGCCGCCATACGTTGCTCGCGTAGAGCAGATCGAGGCGGACACCAAGAACAATGCCAAGGTCCGGGTGAGGTGGTACTACCGGCCCGAGGAATCCATGGGCGGCCGGAGACAGTTCCATGGATTCAAGGAGCTCTTTTTGTCGGACCACTACGACGTCCAGAGTGCCGATACCATCGAAGGCAAGTGCATTGTTCATACTTTCAAGAACTACACCAAGCTGGAGAGTGTGGCATCCGAGGACTACTTTTGCCGGTTCGAGTACAAGGCGGCCACGGGAGGCTTCACTCCGGATCGAGTCGCAGTGTAAGATTGACAAAGCTCTCACTTTGGATTCTCTATCTTATGCTCTCTTTTTTTGGGTTTGAAACAGGTACTGCAAGTGCGAGATGCCTTACAACCCGGATGATCTTATGGTGCAGTGTGAGGAGTGCAAAGACTGGTAAGAATCAGTTTCTCTCAAATCCAAAAGCCTTGGCAGCCTCCGATGAAAAAAATGGCAGGTTTCATCCATCTTGCATCGGACTGCCGGTGGATCAAGTGAAGAAGATGGAGAGCTACTACTGCCCGGATTGCTCTCCGCAAGCACAAGACAAGTCCAAGCCCACGGGTCACAAGGTGTCGTCCTCTAAGCCGAAGCTCCCGCAGAAAGTTTCGCCTCCGCAAGAACTCAAGGTACTAAGCTACACGAGAGTGGAAAAAAAAAACTACCTTTTTCTATTTGAAGTGATTGATTTACCTGCAGGTGGATCCAAAGCGGCGAAAGAAGTAATGGCAAGAAGCCTTGGCAGCAGCAGTGGGATGAGTAAAACAGAAAAAAACACTTATTTTACTGAGAGCACAGTGTTGTGGCCACGGCAAAAGCTCAAGTGGCTGAGAGAGGGAGAGAGAGAGAGAGGAGATGTAAAGCCTCTAGCGAGAAGGGGAAGTAACTTGTCTCTGTTGTGTAAGATCATTGCGGGAAGGTGTAAGATCATCTCGAATCTCTGTTATAATCTATAATCAAAGTCACTATTATGGAGAAAGTTTTCTTCTGTTGATTCAACGGTCTCCTCGTTTTTCGGTAGAACTTAGATCTTCCTCGTTTTCCGGAGAAAGTGAAGAGAAAATAGCTAGTTTCATGGAGCAGCAAAGAAACTCACGCTTTGATCACTGGAAGCATGCTCTAAGTTTGAGGCAACGTTTTGATGCTTCCTTCGTCGCGAATCTCACTTCCAACAAGAGCTTTCAATCCTACAAACGCAAACTCCACGACATTTGCGGCGAGCCAGATGATCTTTCGCAAACCGAGAGCTAACTTTCTAGCTCCTCGCAAAAAGAAAGAAGCTTGCCATGGGATCTTTCTTTTTGCGAGGAGCCAGAGGGGGTGGTGTTGTGACCTCTTATGCCGAGTGTGGCCGAGCAGCAAACTAACTCACGATTTGATCACACCCCCAAAGTTTAGGAACAGCGATTCGACGCTTCCTTCGTCGCCACATTCACCTCCAACAAGAGCTTTCAATAATCATACAAAGCGCGAACTCCACGACATTGTTGCTTACTCGCGGTGATCCAGATGGTCTTTCGCAAAACCTTACGAAGCCACGATTCAAGCTATCGAAAGCGAAAGCTCTTCACAGATCATTTTCTGTTTTCGAATGTCAAAACGTACTTTTGAGAGTGTTCGACATCACTGTTTTCTCTTCTTTTATTTTACTCGATCTGTTGACAATTTGCCTCCTCATCCACTAGAGCCATATTCTATTCGATTTGATCGCGAGAATATAATCAAAGCCGCTGGTCTTTCCTTCCAGCCTCGATCGAAGACTCTCAGTTGTGTCAGTGCGACTCTTTCGCAACAAAGAAAAAAACACAGAGGATATGATCCTACATACAAGATGACGAGGAATTCACAACATCGGAAGCACAGTAGCGCTACTGGTTGGTTTTGTTTGGTGGTTTGGACTCCAGCGAATCGTGAATTGGTGGCCGCGCACACGCAAAATCTCGTTCTTTTCCTTCCGTGCTCCTTGTCAACATTCTTGGGCTTGATCTCGCTCGCATCAGCGTATATTTCCACTGTACCGGCGAGCCAGCGCGAATCGGCCCACCACAAATCCGAATGGTCACCGCCAACTTCCAAATCTCCCAGAGTTTCTCTTTCCTCCCCGGTTTTTTTTTTTCTTTTCTTTTCATTTTTGCTCTCTTTTCTTTGGTTTTCCGTGAGGATAAAATCCTTGACTTCATGCCTCGCTTTTGTTCCAATAATGCAGAGATGTCCGCGCTTTATTGACAAAAATGTCCACTCGGAGATGAGCGCAAAGTTACTCGCGCGGTGCGGTGCTCTCCCGAAAAAAAGAAAGAGAGAGATTTTTAAAGAAAATCTAGGCGTGAAGATTTGGAAGACGGAAAAAAACAAAAAAAAAACAAGTCCCAAGCGGGGCAGCGTGTTGATCTTGCAATCCGGGAGGAAAGCGAAAGCTGAAATGACCCTTCGACTTTTAAAGCTTTTGTGTTCCTGGGGAAGAAGCAAACGAAGTCAAGTTGGGAGGAGCTCACACCGACGGGTAGATCAATGTCTAGAACTAGATAAGTTTCACGCCGACAAAGCTCTTCGCATGGCTCGCAAGATCCTCCGCGCTTCCTAGGAGATAAGCTTCCCCAAGAGCTCGCTACATCCACAAAGTTCTTGGCATGGCTCGCAAGATCCTCAGCACTTCCCCTCCACCGGAGGACTCGCGGAGCCCGCTCCACATCTCCTCGTACAGCCTCCCATCCGGCTCCCGGATCCCCAAGGTGATGATCGCGGTGGTGGCGGGATTCGTGCTCACCACCGCCATCATCTATTACACTTGCAAGTGGGTCTTCCGCAAGAAGTGCCCCGACGCCACCGACGCCACCGCCGCCGCCTCCGGCGCCCCTCCGCCACAGCCGGACTCGCTCGAGGAGCTCCAGGCCCGGGTCACCAAGAGCCTGGCGCAGCGCCTGGGCAGCAAGATCGCCACGGCCATCCCGACGGTGAGCTACGCGGAGCTGGCGGAGTTCCGTGCCAGGGGCGATCCCAGCGGTGGCGCCGCCGCCGCGGAGGCGGAGGCTTGCGCGGTCTGCCTCACGGACTTCTCCAAGAACCCGGCGGGGACCAAGATCAAGATCCTGCCCAAGTGCGCGCACGCATTCCACTGTAGCTGCATCGATCTGTGGCTCATGACCCACGCCTCGTGCCCGATCTGCCGCGCCAGCTTGTTCGTAGCGCTGGCGGACCTAAATGCCTGGGCCTCTCGCGGCGGCGCCTCCTCTTCCCCAACGCCGCCGCCGCCGCCTCCAATCGAGCATCGTCCTCCTCTTCCGCCCGAGCGCCGCCCCGAGGATCAAGGAGGCGTGTGATAGTGTCCGAGAATCCCTAGATCTGTGAGGATTGGCTTTCACCCGTGTTCCCCGGCATCGAGACAGAGCATGTTGGAGACCAGGATATGGGATGCCGGGGAATCTCCAGCATTCCAGGATCCAGTGGCGGCGGCGGCGATGGCGGCGGCGCGGGAGCCCAGCTGGAGCTCGCCGTGGATTCCACACGCCGCCAGTAGCGTCTTGGCGGTGGTGGAATCGGGCACGAAGGGCATTGCGCCCATGAGCTCCAGCGCGCGGTCCGTGTGGCCGGCCTTGCCCAGCGCCGCGATCACGCAGTTGTAGTGCTCGATCGTGGCGGCGATCTGGTGGTCCGAGATCATGGATTGGAAGAAGAATCGCGCCTCGCGCAGGGATCCGTGGTGGATGCAAGCGCCGAGAATCGCGGTGAAGGTGAGGTCGTCGGCAATTGCGCCACCCTCGAGCTCCATCTCGCGCGCGCGGTGGAAGCTCGCGGCGGGCAGCCCCGCGTTCGCGTAAGCGGCGATCGCGGCCGTCCATGAGATGGAATTCCGCTCCGGAATGGACTGGAAAAGAGACTCGGCAGCCGCCGGATCCCCCGAGCGGGCATACGCTGCAAGAACAGAGTTCCAGCACGAAAGACTGCTCTGCGGCATTCGATCAAGCACAGATCTCGCAAGAAGTGGACAGTTGTTGTCGGAGTATGCCGCGCCGATTGCGTTCCATGACACAGCGTTTCTGCAGCACATCGATTGAAAGATCTCTTGCGCTTTCTGGATTTGCCCTCTCTGGGCATGAGCCGTAATCAGCGACGTCCACGAGATCGTATCTTTCGCAGGCATTCTCTCAAGAACTGCTGTGGCCGAGGACAACATCCCGTTTTCTATGTAGACATGAAGAATTGCGTTCCAGGAGACGATGTTCCTTTGCGGCATCTCATCGAAGACTTTCTTCCCATGAACCACATCTCCGCCAGCGGCAAAGGTGGCAAGAAGCGCAGTTGAGGAGCAGATATTGTTCTTGGGAATCATCCGGCACAGAGCCTTTGCAAGATCAATTTCAGAGCACTGCGAGCACGCAGCGATCATCGAACACCATGACACGTCGCTCTTTTCTGGCATCAAATCAAACACCCTTTTGGCCTCGACTATATGCCCAGATTGGGCATACGCAGTCACCACAGCCGTCCACGCCACCACATTCCATGCGGGCATTTTCTCCAGAACGTCCCAAGCGCCATCTCCTGCGTACGATGAAATCATGGCCGTCCACGCGACTACATCCCTTCCAGACATTCCGGCATAGAACAATCTCCTCGCGCAAAGGAACCGGCTGTGCTTCACATAGGCTTGGATCAAGCTTGTGACTGCAATGGGATTGCTCTCCGGAATTCTTTCTAGAATGGCAGTGGCATCGTCTATGAGACCGTGTTGGGCGCAGCACTGAACCACCGACGCCCACGAGACCGAGTCGGTCTCGGGCATCTTCTCGAAGGTAGTCCGAGCTTCTTGTGGATGCCCAGACTGGGCATATGCAGCAATCAGCAAGTTCCAGGAGAAAACGTTTCGATTATTCAGTCCGTGGAAGATGAACTCTCCAGCTTCTAAATCACCACACCTCACAAACATCTGGATGAGGAGATTGTGTAAGTAAGTGTCCTTGCTGTGGACAAGGGCATTGTAAATCTGCCAACCTTGATTGATATCTTTACACTTTCTTATCAAGCTCGCAAACTTTTGCATCACATTCTTGAGACAAGAGCTTTGTGTCTAGACTTTAATCTCTATGGTTCTAGTTTGCGACATCAAAGTGATCGTCCCAAGCGCTCTCATTGTTTGCAAAGCTTTTGTGGAGATCAAAAGCCCAGGTGTTGGAAAGCAACACGTAAGAAGACGTGAGCCCCGCATCGATGGTGAAAACTCTCCTCGCAGCGGCCTGGCCGAGTGTGATCTCCCCTTGCATCGAGCAGGCGCCGAGAAAGCTTGTCCATGGAGCAGTGTGGCTTTGCTCGGGCATCCGGCGGAGCAGCTCCCCGGCCTCCTCCAGCCGCCCTACCCGACACAGAGAATCGATCACACACCCGTAGTGGCTGCGTAGTCTTGAGAGGCCGCGCTCGCTGAGAGACGCAAAATGGTGCCAAGCCTCGTCCAGCCTTCCGGCATGGCTGCAAGCAAAAATTACTGCCAAGATGGTCACCTCGTCCGGCCTATCACCCTCGAGTTCCATCAGCGAGAAGAGCTCCAGCGCCTCCGGGGAAGCGCCGTTCTGCGCATTCCCAGCGACGATTGCATTCCAAGACATCACGCTCTTGCACGGCATTTGCAAGAACAGCTCCTTAGCTTCGTGGAGCTGCCCGTTTTGGGCATATCCGGCAACGATGGCGTTCCACGAAACCAGATCCTTCTCCGGCAATCCATCAAACAATGCCCGAGCTTCGTCCATATACCCGTTTTGACCATACAGAGAGATCATCGCGTTCAAAGACACAATGTTCCACTGCGCCATCTTTTGGAACATTGCGAACGAAATCTCCATGTTTCTGTGCTGGCCATACGACGCCGCCAGCGTCGTCCACACAACCACGCCTCTCCCGCTCATGGAATCAAAAAGCATCTTCGATTCCTCAAAATGCCCGGCTTGGGCACATGCTGCGATTATGAAACCCCAAGATATTGTATCTGCCTCGGGCAAGCGATCAAAGAGCTGCCTAGTCTCGCGAAACTCACCACGGATCGCATACGCTTCCATCATCACATTGAACGAGACGACGTCATGCTGGGGCATCATCTCGAAGAGCTTCCTCCCGGCCTCCAAATCCCGCCTTGCGCTAAATCCCGACACCAGCATCGTCCACACCACAATGTCGCGATCGGGGATCGCCCAAAACAGCCTCACCGCGTCGCCCATCTCGCTCAACTTCACGAGAGCGGAGAGCATCGTGGACCAGGTGACGGAATTCGAGTGAGGCATGAGGTGAAACACGGATCCGGCGTCCTCGATCCTCGAGTTTTGGACGCACGCCGACAGCATCATCCCCCAGGCGATGACATCCTTGAACGGCAAGAGATCAAAGAGCTCTCTCGCTCGCCCAAATTGCCCGCTCTGCGAGTAACCATCGAAGAGAGCGCCCCAAGAGAAGACGTTCCTCTCCGGCATCGCGTCAAAGCACTGGTGGGCAAACTCCAGGTCTCCGGAGGATGCAAATGCTCCAATCAGGACGTTCCATGTCACCTCGTTTCTCGCCGGCATGGAATCAAACAATCGACGCGCTTGGACGAGATGCCCAGACCGGGCATATGCAGTTAGCATGGCTGTCCAGGACACCACGCTTCTCTGGGGCATCTTGGAGAATATTTTACTCGTATCGTCAAGTTTTCCGTTGTTAGAGAACCCAACTAAGATCGAGGTCCACGAGTAAACGTTTCTCTGATCCATGGATTGAAACAACGCGAGCGCCTTGATCAGATCTCTGCTTGCGGCAAATGCATGGATCATGATGTTCTGCGCGATTGCATCCGCGTAAGGCAAAGAATCGAAGAGGATTTTCACGTCGTGGAAATGACCAGATTGAGAGCAAGCGCTGAGGAGCGTCGTATAAGCGACCAGGTTTTGCTCGGGCATTTTGTCAAAAATCAGTTTGGCCTGCAGCAAATGCCCGTTGCGGGCAAATGCCGCAAGCAGGAAGTTCCACGAGAACTGGCTCGTGCTGCCGCGGAGGGCGTTGAAAACAGCGAGAGCATCGCCAGGCGCGCCACATCTCCCATACATTTCCACCAGGCGATTGGCGAGAAATGTGCTGCAGGACTGGTCGCTAGATTGGATGAGCCTGTGGATCTTGCGCCCCTCAGCCAGGTCCCGAGCCGCCCCACACGATTTGATGAGCTCGGCGTAGTAGCCAGTAAGATCGTCCGCCTGACCTTTGGAGCGCTTGGAGGACCGAGCCAGTGACATTCTCGGGTCTCCTCCATAACTTTCAATACTTCATCATCCCTAACAGTTTTACTTGAGTCTAATGAGTCAATCCCTGAAATGCCAGCTTTTGTGAATGACCGCCACGACTTTCGTCCGTAAAAGAGAAAAGAGAAAAGTGATGGCTGAGCTATTTTTCTCTTTGCTGTATGTGGAGCATGTCATTGTAGACTATGACAACAAGGACTTTGAAGATTCCAAAGGTGTTTGTCGTGATGCAGGGCCGCGCTCTGACGGTTGACGGCCTCTAAATATATGATAAACGCATCCAAAAAGAGTTGAAGAGAAGTCACATTGCATTGTTCTGGCTTAAATAGCGAGTGACACAAACTCCTTGCCACAGTAGTGTAGTTCTAGTGAAGTTCCAAGGTTTTCATGGCTACTTGTGATCGATGAACGCGGCCGCCTATGCCCGGCTCATCAAATCCTACACCGTCTCTCGCGATCTCGTCCAGGGCAAGTGCGTCCACGCTCAGATCCTCCACTCCCATCTCGCCACCAACACCTTTCTCGCCAATCTCATCGTCGAGATGTATGGCAAATGTGGTAGCCTGGGCGATGCGCGAGCGGTTTTTCACTCCCTGCCCTCGCCCAATCTCTTCTCCTGGAATATCGTCATCTCGGCGTGTGCCGCGAATGGGGATTTCTTCGAGGCTATGCGCCTCTTCCATGCCATGCCCGAAAAGACCCAAATCGCAGCCACTGTGATGATCCGTGTCTATACCGAGCTTGGTCACATACAAGAAGCAAGGTCTATTTTTGAGAATTTGCCACGGCGAGATCCAGTATCCTGGACTTGCTTGCTTCAAGCATATGCCACACAGGGGCATCCAGTGCTGGCAAAACTCCTTTTTGACAAGATGCCCGAGTGGGATGTGGTGTCATCCACGGCCGCGATGGGCGCTTGCGTACACTGTGGCTTTTTGGGTGACGTAAAAGTTATGTTTGATCGTATGTCAAGACGCAATGTAGTCACTTGGACGACACTTATTTCAGCAAATGCCTCTATTGGGCATTTTCTGTATTTTGCGAGAGAAGCGTTTGATCGAATGCCTGAGAGGAACATCGTCACCTGGAACGCGATGATCGCCGGCTATGGTGAAGCCGGTGAAGTGGCCGAGTCGTGGGGGCTCTTCGACTCCATGGCCGAGCAGAACGTTGTCTCCTGGAATACGATGATGGGCACTTATGCCCAGCACGGGCATCCACTGCGCGCTTGGCAGCTCTTCGATGGAATGCCGCAGCGCAACGTCGTCTCCTGGAATGGATTGATCTCCGCGCTCGGAATCACCGATCTGGAGCTCATGGACCAGGCGTTTGATCGAATGCCCCACACGGATTCCATCTCGTGGAACACGGTGATGACCGTGCACGCCCAATCCGGGGACCTGGAGCGCGCCAAGGCGCTGTTTGATCGATCGCCCAGGAGAGATCTCGTGTCCTGGAACGGAATGATCGCGGCGTACGCGCAGCACAGCCAGATGGATCGAGCGAGAGTGGTGTTTGACATGATGGGCGATCGAAACACCACGTCCTGGAACACCATGGCCGAGGGCTACTGCCGGAGTGGATGTGTTCCGGAGGCGTGCTCGATCTTCCACGGCAGCCCACAGCGCGATCTCCTCTCCTGGACCGCGATGATGGTGGCGTTCGCGGAGAATGGGATCGTCGACGGCGTCAAGAGCCTCTTCGACCGGATCCCGCACAGGGACGCGGTGTGCTGCACGGCGATGCTGGACGCGCTGGCGGCGCAGGGGTGCGTGATCGAGGCGGAGGAGGTGTTTGCCTCGATGCGCGAGAGGGATGGAGCGGCTTGGAACGCGATGATCCAGGCCAATGTCGTCAACGCGCGCCTGGATCAAGCCAAGGAGCTCTTCGATCAGATGGACCACCGGTGCCGGATCTCCTGGGACACGCTGCTTCAGGGGCTTGTGGCCGATCGATCCGTGGAGTGCGCCAAGGATCTGTACGATCGGATGTCCCAGCACGGGGTCTCATCGTGGACGTCGATGATTCAAGCATTTGCCCAAAGAGGGCATTTCGAGAAAGCCAAGGATATCTTCACTCATATGCCACGGAGGGATGTCATTGTGTGGACGGCTTTGCTCGCCGCGTTCTCGCAGGAGGGAAAATTGCAGTTTGCTACAGAGGTTTTTGAGCGAATTCCACAGGCAAATCTCGTCTCTTGGGCTGCAATCGTTGCAGCAAATGCCCAAAACGGGGATATTGGACACGCGAAAGAGCTGCTTGATTGCATGCCCGAAAGCACTGTCTCCGCCTGCAACATCCTTATCGGTTCATACGCGCAGCACGGCAGGTTGGCGGAGGCGAAAGCCCTCTTCGACTCAATGCAGGAAAGAGATACTGTCTCTTGGACCGCGCTCGCAACAGCAAATGCCCACGCGGGGCATCATGCCGCTGTCCAGCTGCTCTTCGCATCGATGCTGCTCGACGGGATCAAGCCGGACGAGCTGACGTTCCTGTGCCTGCTCTCGTCGGTGGCCTACACGGGCATCGTAGACGAGGTCCGTGAGAGGTTCATGGCAATGGTGGTGGACAATTTCGTGGAGCCGACGCTGCAGCACTACTGCTGCCTCATCGCAGCGCTGGCGAGGGCGGGGAGGCTGTGCGATGCCGAGGAGCTCATTCACTCGATGCCGTTCATGCCCGAGCAAGTGGCGTGGATGACACTCTTGTCAGCGTCAAGAAACGACACTGATTTGGTGCGTGGGAGTCACGCAGCGCAGCATGTCATGAGGATCAAACCGCAAGACTCCGCATCGTATGTGTTGCTCTTCAACCTCTACAGTCATGGTCTAGCAAGCTCTGAAAATGTAGTAAAAGAGCGAATGAAATAGAGTCTTTGTTCAGGTAATAAAATTTTACGCCGTTGCCAGGGATCGAACCCGGGGCGTCCGCTTGACACCATATAATCTTGATTAGGTTAAACTAATCTAGAGACGCGTGTTTGTATCCGTCTCCTTTGCGATGAGCCTCTTGCTGGTTAAAACTAATCTAGGTTCACGGAACAGAATGTTTATAAGGCCGAGACGCATGTTTGTATCCCGTCTCCTTTGCTTTCATTTGGATCATCTCTTTTGCGTCCCAGCACTCACAGCACCAAAAGAGGCAATGAATGACGAGCAAGCAATGGATGAGCATGAGCTTTTGCTTCATTTGCAGTTGTGTAGGGATCTATGGGCAGCTGAGGTGCTCCATGCCTGTGCTCGATCGATTGCCTGCTCTGAGGATACATTCCTCCTCAACTATGTCATTTAGATCTATAGCAACTACGGCGCTGCATACCATACATAGCTCGTTTTTTATGCCATCGAGCCCAAGGATTCCTTCTCCTAGGATTTCATGTTCATTGCCTACACACACAGCTCCTAGTTATGAGATGCTAAGGCTTTGTTCAATGCGATGCCTAGGTGGAATCTTGTTATCTAGAATGTTATGGTGTGCTTGTATGCCCAGACTAGGCATTTGGAAGGCACTTATGTTATCAATGGCCACACAAAAAAGGCTAAACAACTGTTTGATTCTATGCCTTACAGAACCTAATGGAGCAGCCAACTCTAAATGCAATTGAATCATCCCATTATCTAGATCTATACTACAGCTTTTTATAAAATTTATGAATACATATGTATTTTAATATATAGATATAGTGACCACTTTATAGGTTTCTTTAGTTATGGAATAATTTTCATCTAGGGCATTGTGGTTGTTTCAATACGGTTCTCTTACTGGTGCCCCAAAAGCACTTTTGTAACAATTTATACAATATATAAACCTTTAGTTTTAACTGTATTGAAAATGATATAAATATTTATCTTTACAACTACTAAAGATGTGATTAGTTTCTCTGCCAAAACTACAATATGAATTTCAATATGTAATATTGTAGTTGTATTAGTATCTTTTGTAATATCTTGTAAAACAACCACATATGCTAAAACCACATTGAAAGTTATATAAATATTTATCATAAATTTTACTAAAGTTTCAAATGGTTTCTCTAGCAAAACAATGGTCTAATTAAAAAGTAATTTGCTATCAATCACAAATTAAAGTTACCCATTTTTTGCAAATTTTTACTAGTTTAGAAAATATATAGAACTTGAAAGTAATATCTCATTCTTGCTTTGTCATTTATGTTCATTAAATTATTTGACATATAATTCCACCTCCTCTTTCGATATAGTTTTTTTCTTAATCTTTATAGTTTTTTGCAAATTCACATTTATTACATATAACAAGTTTATGAAAATATTGAAGTATCTCAAGAGTAGTGGTGTATTCACTTTTGCCATTGCAACTCTCATTAGATTTATTGTCATACTTAATACAAAAATTTAACCAATAAATATCCTTTTACACTTGAAAACCATTACAGAAATTATATAGTTTTAATTTAGAAAGTTTGCCAAAGCACTCCACGCCTGCACTCAATCAATCGCCCGCCCTGATGATACATTCTTCCTCAACCATGTCATCCAGATCTATGACAATTATAGTGCTGCCTACCATGCACAGCTTATCTTCGATGTCATCGAGCCCAAGGATTCCTTCTCCTGGGATTTTATGCTCATTGTCTACACATGTAACTCCCAGTTGCGAGAGGCCAAGGCCTTTTTTGATGCAATGCCCAGATGGAATTTTGTTGCCTGGAACGTTATGTTGTGCCTATATGCCCAGACTAGGCATTTAAGATTCCACCTAAATGAACCTCTTTGATGGGATACAAAGCTACAACATTGTATTGTTAAATGCCTTGATGTTTATTTATGCTATCAATGGCCACACGAGCTAATGGGGCAACCAACTCCAAATGCAATTGGATCCAACTATCTAAATCTATACTACAGGTTTTTATAAAGTTTGTGGATGCATATATATCATAATATTGGGATAAGGAAGTTAGATATACCCTTATGGAGGATAAATTGCTTATGTTGCGATATAGTAAGTTAATGTCGAAAGGGGAATGCTCATTGGTATATAGATATAGTGACTACTTTATAGATTTCTTTATGGCATTCAATACCTTTTGTAACAATGTATACAATATATAAACCTTAAATTGTATTGAAAATAATATAAATATTTACCTCTAAAACTACTAAAGATGTGGTTAGTTTCTTTGCCACAACTATAATATAAATTTTAATATGTAATATTGTAATTATATTAGTGTATTTTGTAATAGCTTATAAAAAACACATATATTAAAATTATATTGAAAGTTAAATAAATATTTATCACAAATTTTACTGTGATTTGTTTAGTAAGAGAATAACCTCATTAAAGTGTAATTCCTTATCAATTACAAATTGAAATTATTTATTTATTTCAAAATTTATTAATTTAGAAAATAAATGGAATTTGAAAGTAATATTTCATTCTTCTTTTTTTATTTGCACATAAATTCATATATTTGTTAAATTGTTTTAGCACATAATTCTACCACTCCTTTAATATAGTTTTTTTTATATATAATTTTCATAGTTTCTTGCAAATTCACATGTATTACATATATAGTAAGTTCTTTAAAATATTGAAGTATCTCAAGAGTGGTGGTGTATTCACTCTTACATTGTGACTTTGATTAAATTTGTCATTATACTTCATAATATTAATACAATACTTTAGCCAATAAATATTCTCCTACACTTGAAAATCATTAGAAAAATTATACAGTTTAATTTAAAAAGTTCATACCAATGAATGAAATTGTCAAATTGTAAGATGAAAGCAGCCATTTTGCTAAGGAATGGCATGTGCAAACCATTTAATGACTTTGATTTAACAAGTATATTATAGTGAATCTTTAGAATCTTATAAGGATGTTTTTTGTGCTGTTTTTTGTTTATTTGCAATACAAAAATTACCTATGCAAAACAAAAACCATACATAATTTCTTAGTTGATTACTTAAAAAAATAAAATATTAGATTTCTTAATTCTCAAATCCTAAAATGTGTGAAACTACATCATGGTGTAAGCCACAATTTTTCCTTTCCAATATGCTGACTTACTTCATCTATCTGATTACCATTACCTTAGTTTTAGTTAAATTCCCTTGCTAAGGTTCTCACTTATTGTATTATCTCCTACTTGGTTTTATTTGGTTTCAACTACTCACTATATGAGCAATGAAGTGTTAAACATCCATCCATGAATTCCCAAATTCTCTTCTAATCCCCTTCCTCGGATTAGAATAAACTTAAGGTTCAACTACGCTCCTCGCAAGTACAAGTAGCTAAACAAATCAAACTTTCAAATTTTTAACATCCTTTAGTATAACAAAACTTGATCATAGAACCCTCTAAATCCCAAGTTTTGAGTGCATATCTTACTTTGGGACCCCAGAGGAAACATTGTGGCCTAACTGTCCAATATGGGTATTCTTACTTCCCCACCTCCATCTTAAAGGGAAGGCCTAAACCTGTAAGAAGGAATGAGGACTAATAAGTTATACGGTCTCAAGTGCACATGATCTAGGAGCATTATAATTGGTTTCCCTTTTAGGAGTGGGAGTTGCTCTTAAACACTTCTTTATGTGGCCTCTTTCACACCATCTGAGTCCATACTTACTCCCATCTAAGACCCCTAACCCCCAACTTCAACCTCAAGTTAATTTGAAAGCACAACACTAGAGAATTCCTTCAAAACTGGTTTTTAAACATCACTATCCCTACTATACTTTTGGAACCCTCTACAACCTGCCCCCCTCCCCCCCCCTTCCCAAAGAGATGTAACACATATGGTTTTTACCCTTTATCCTATGGTGATTTACCATAAGATAACACCACGAAGTAGAATTTAAACCCTCCATATGCCACATATTATATGCCATGTGTCCAAAGGACAATGGTGTGGAACCTGAGGTTCAAAGCCTTGAGCCACTGAACGAAGAAACGGTGCTAAACTCCCAAACATAGAGCCAAAGAGTGATGAAATTGAACCATAGAGCAACTTCTGAGCATATAAACCAAGGAGCAAAGGGACAAAAGCTCAGAGTGACTTAGAATACTCCTAGAGCAACCAGCATCCCAATGCCAGGATCAGCATGCAAAACGGTGCCAAATGGAGTCTAGCATTATTTCGGCATACCGGTGGCCTAACGCAAGGATATGGGTACTCCACCAGCTAGCATGGTGTGAATGTGAGACACAAAATCCCTAGGCCCCAAAGTAGAGCCGGAAAGGGTGCCACGTGGTAGTGGCTGAAGCGAGAGCCAAACGAGCGTAACACGTTTGGACCAAAAGCTCCGACTTGAAAAGTCAAGAGCGGGAGTTGAACTCCCAAAGAAGGGCTCGAGGAACGAGCACGAAGCGAGCAAAAAGCGAGGCTCCAAAAAGGGACCCAAAAGGACCAACACATGACACGTGGGAGTGTCCGAGATGGACTCGAGTTGGAGTCCGAAGTGGAGTCCGAGATGGACCCGAGTTGGAGTCCAAAGTGGAGTCCGAGATGGACTCGAGTTGGAGTCCGAAGTGGAGTCCGAGATGGACCCGAGTTGGAGTCCGAAGTGGAGTCCAAGATGGACCCGAGTTGAAGTCCGAAATGGAGTCCGAGATGGACCCGAGATGGAGTCCGAGATGGAGTCCGAAGTGGAGTCCGAGGTGGACCCGAGATGGACCCGAGATGGAGTCTGAGATGGAGTCCGAGGTGGACCCGAGATGGACCCGAAATGGAGTTCGAGATGGAGTCCGAGATGGACCCGAGATGGAGTCCGAGATGGAGTCCGAGATGGACCCGAGATGGACCCGAGATGGAGTCCGAGATGGAGTCCGAGATGGAGTCCGAAGTCGAGACCGAGACCGGGACCGAGACCGAGACCGAGACCGAGA